TGGCGACGGCAACCCGCCAATGCAGCAGTGCCGTCCGTCCGTTTTTTTACAACGGGCGGACGGCAAGAGGTTAAACTAGAACTGAACCTTTTTTCCTTTTGTTTTGGATAGAGTAAGGGAAAGTTATAACTAGGGATGCACCGGTACTCGCCCAAATGCTCTGATGACTAGCCCGATACTTCCAGTATCAGGAAGCCGGTCAGCGCGTCATTACACTCTGCCCGGCTTCCTGATTGGCTGGGAAGCCGGCTCCATGCTTCCTTGTCACTTGTGAGGAGACAGCATGGAGCCGGCTTCCTGGCCAATCGGGAAGCTGGGCAGCGTGTAATGACTCCCCGCCTAGCTACGGGAAGCTGGCCAATCAGGAAGCCGGGCGCTGTGTAATGACGCAGCGCCCGGCTTTCTGATTGGGGGGGAAGCCGGCTTCATGCTCCCTCGTCACCTCATGACGAGGGAGCATGGAGCTGGCTTCCTGGCCAATCAGGAAGCCGGGCGCCGCATCATTTCACTTCCTGGATTTCTGGCACATGTGACTAGACATGTGGCTAGGACATGTGACCATGCATATCATCTCAAGGGAGGAAAATGCCTTTCCCTGAGGTCTCCTGATATTATAGATGAGATTTCTGAGCAATGCTCTGCTGATGACAAAGCAATCCCAGTGTGCATTGCATTGGCAAACTGAAATCATTTTACACTTTTAAAGCGGGAAGTGAATGCTCTGCAAGTGTAAGTATTGCATAATCACAGCATTTTACACCTGACATGTCTATGTTATTACCAATCATCATACATAGATGCATTGATAGAATAATATTTTTGAGTGTAAATGTCTGCTTTAAGGCTACGTTGGCTCTTTGCAAATGTTACCTTACTCCACGCGCACCTTTATAGGCAGTGGGTGCACTGTGTTTCTGACCTGTTGCTTAAAGTGTATGCATGGCCTTCAATGAACTTCTCTTATTTTTTCCCTTTTGGTCTGAAAATATATTATTTGAAAGTGATTTGTTGTATCTGTTCGATAAATGTAAAATAACACCTGTTTATCCTGCCAGAAATTCAGAGCTGTCCTCTGCATTTTGCAGACTTCCTTGGTTATCTTAATGTGACACTAAACTCAGGAGTTAAACCTTAAAAATACATTCAAGTAACCTAACTATTAACAGAAATGTATCTTATTTGTGTATTACTCGGTTGTACATCCTCAAATCATCTCTGAACGGGTGCTGACACTGTCCTTCCTTCTGGAGGGGGGCTACGTTTGTTCCCCATGGTCCCTGTGTGTGTTGTAAAGTAGTCACCGCTCCAAACTCACTTCTGTGATGGACTACAATCTCACGTTTAGTTTACTAATTTGTATTGAGATTGTAGTCCATCATGGGAGGCAGCTTGGAGCGGTGGCTACTTTACAACACACACAGGGACCATGGAGAAAAAAAGTAGCACTGCTTCCCTGGATGGGACACTTGAGCACAATTACATAATTGTTTTTTAGCTAATGAATGTAAGATGATTTCATATGATCGTGCAGAGCTGTATGCTGATGTGATTTTTTGTCAAAGGGGTTAAAGTTCCACTTTAAGGGGTCTAATTAAACCTCCCAATTCTTATCTTGAATTACAGAATAATTCATTTGCATGTTATGAAGATGAAGAGAGTTGCGAGGGATTGAGTAGTTTAGCTAAATAGAACTCGGCAGGGCTCAACAAAAATGGTGTGTTGTCAGTCTACCACAAGACATAGGAACGTAGTGCACATCTAGCAGATCAACAGTCATTTTTCTTTACTTGGAAGGTCTTTAGGGAACAAGACATGGTGAAATGTTCATGTATCACAGAGATGTCCTCCATATGTTTTTTTGTCTTTTGCCCTGACCCACACTTTAAATGTCCTGTTTAAAAGGGAAGCCTGACCAAACCAGTTGGCTCTATCTCTATCCCTACTTCAATGGTATACATTGTTTTTTCTTTCCACTGTTATTTTAAAAGGCTGTTGCCCTCCTGATTTCCATCCTTCAGCTCCAGCTGAATGTTCCGGGACCCCTGACCCAGTATTGTGATTCCCCGTAATGACAGGAAGTAGGATAAGTGGTGGCACTCGTATAACTCCACCCACCTTGAGTGCAACTTCCTGTAATAGAAGCTCATTGATTGTACATCTGGAGCCTGTACCACATTTTTACCAAGTGATCCTTTCCACCAACAACTGTTGTGTGCAAACGTCTGAAAGAACAGCTGAGTGATGTGGCACGGTTACAGATACTGATGTGGGGGAGGTTGGGATTCATTGTGAATTTAATAGTAAGCTCTTGGGGGGAAATGGCACCGTGCCAGCAAAGCTCCCTGGGTTATAGTCTGAGGCAGGATGCAATGACGGGGCTTGACATTTTTGTGGTTAGACAATGATGCTCATTCCAATTAGGATAACACAGATCTTGAAATGTGAAACCATGGGCTTGCTGTTGTGTTGTTTGGAAAAAGTAGGACAGTTATAACCTATGTGCTGTACGTTACATTATCCTTTTCAATGACCACAGTGGTTTTATTGCGAAGTGCGTGGTACTTTAAAAAAAAAATAATAATTATAAAAAAATAAATAATTTCACCTTTGCCCTTTTAAGGCGATCTTAAAGGGAAAGTCTACTTTCTGTGAAATAAATAAATGCACACTTCTTCATAAAGAAAACAAAAATGTGCATTTATTTATTTATTTTATTTATTTTTGCATTGGAGCCAATAAAGCATTGCAACCATGATCAGTGCAATGCTCCGGCTCCTGCTGATTGCTCCTCCGGTCCATGTTGCTGAATGCCCATGTTTGAGGTACAGACATTAGGTAATATGGACCGAGGAAGACTGAATGGACTATAAGCGTGGTGATGTCCTTCTGCCATGGTGATGATGGGACTTGCACTTTCTCCATTTACAGATCCTGTCAAAGGATCTTTTGAATGGATGACGTGGCTGCGTGGCACAGCCATGCCATATTAAAAATACTGTAAATACAGTTTAGCCGCGATTTAGGTAAGCTGGAGGTCGTGAAGGTGGTATGGGGGTCTCAATGTGACCATGTTTCAAGTTACACCCTGAATATGGGTGAAACATAAAACATGGTCTAAAATTTGAACGTAGCCTTTATCCCTGGAAGTAGGGTTGCCACCTTTTCTTTAAGCGAAACCCAAACACTCTAGCGACACGCAGACATTTTTTGGGGAGAATGAGTCATGGCTTATTCATGTGTAAATATCACAGTTGAGACTATTTTCAGTGGGGGGCCAGTAGCCCCTATCTTAATTTTGGTTGCCCCTGTCTGCCTGACATCGTGTGTCCGGGTTTCTGCTGCCATGAAACCCGGACACAGCATTCAAAGCCCAGACTGTCCGGGTGAATCCTGGAAAGGTGGCAACCCTACCAAGAGCTCAAGAAGATACCAAGAGGGTGAAGGCAGGCTTCAATGATATGTGAGCTCTGTGATTGTCACAGCCCACCCACTATCAATCATAAACAGTGACTGGGAGCTGTCAGTGACCGCATGGTCACTGTGCTGGTAGTGCACCAGTAAGCAGGATGGCTAATGCATATATGCATACAGCCAGTGTTAAAGTAGTATTAAACCCTCAAAATGTTTTCAATCCAGATCAAACAAATATACATTGCCCAGCAAATTATTTCTTTACATTTTCCCACAAGCACTTACACTCATCATGCTTCCAGACAGCTCCAACTCTCTTAGCTCAGCTTCCTTGAACTCCCTGTCCAGTACAAGATCACAAGTGACAGAGCATTCTCCAGCAACTGTTCATCTGCTAGCTTCATGAAAAGAGGAGGGAGGAAGGAGGAGAAGGAAGCTGGGTAGTGGCTTGCCTTGCTGTGTGTTTGTGGAGACACATACAGCTAACTAGGGCATGCAAGAGTAGCTCCATAGGACCCTGCAGGGGAAAGGAACCATCCTAAAACAGGATATCAGGGACAGTGCTCAGGGGACCAGCTGATTCTGTAGGAAGATAAAACATGTAAGCATCAATGAGCAGCATCCATTGTAAGTGGTTTAATCAGCATTTGAAATAGCTTAAAAACTTTTGTACTTTAATATCACCCACTGGCCAACCCGCCGGGATTGTGTACATATATCACACCAGCAGGAAGTTAAAATGCTGCAAGTATAGAACGTACATGCTGCTCTGCCTATGGGCAGCACAGTGGCGTAGTGGTTAGCACTTCTGCCTTGCAGCACTGGGGTCCGTGGTTCATATTCTGGTCAGATCACTATCTGCAGGGGGTTTGCATGTTCTCCCTGTGCTTGCGTGGGTTTCCTCCGGGTACTCTGAATTCCTCCCACACTCCAGAAACATGCTGGAAGGTTACTTGGCTCCTGTCTAAATTGGCCCTATACTGTATGTTTGTGCAATGGGGACCTTAGATTGTAAGCTCCGTAAGGGCAGGGACTAATGTGCATGTGTAAAGTGCTGTGTGAATTGTCGGTGTTATATAAATACCTGTAATAAATGAACCAATGATCTCTCAACTTTTTCTTCTTTTGGTTATGACATTTTCATTTTGCATAGTCAGAATGTAATACTTTATAATATATTATTGTTATATTTGTGTAGAATTCTGCTTCAAGAGTGGAAATGACTGTGATACATGCACTTTGATAAGATTGGAAATGACTGTGATACATGCACTTTGATGAGAGTGGAAATGACTGTGATACATGCACTTTGATAAGATTGGAAATGACTGCGATACATGCACTTTGATGAGAGTGGAAATGACTGCGATACATGCACTTTGATAAGAGTGGAAATGACTGCGATACATGCACTTTGATAAGAGTGGAAATGAGTGTGATACATGCACTTTGATAAGAGTGGCAATGACTGCAATACATGCACTTTGATAAGAGTGTTAGTGACTCTTGGGCGAGGTCTCATAGAACTTTCCATCTTTGAAACATAGATTCTTCTCCAGACTTATCAAGCTACTCTGTTTTTTTCACAGAATCCTCAGCAACAATAAGATAACCACACTGAGAAATGGCTCTTTTAATGGACTTCAGGAATTGGAGAAGCTGTAAGTAGCCGGTTTTATCATATGAACGTTGAGTTTAAATCAGCTAAATGCATTCCTGGGGCAACAAAATATGTGCAAAGTCTTAAAGTTTGTAAGCCCTCCTTAGCATCTTGTCTTGATTTGTATTGTAGTTGTAATGTCTTCCTTATATTGTAAAGCGCTGCGCAAACTGTTGGCACTATATAAATCCTGCATAATAATAAAAGCAGCCGCAGCCTGACTAGAAAAGCCTGTCCCCTGCCAGCACAATTTAGAGGAGGGCCCTTGCTCTCTGTGTGGAAGTAGTGGTCTCTCCTCTGAGAGGTTGAACACACCTTATTCTCAGTCAGAGCTGGAGCTGTCCAATCAGCGGGAATCATGAGCTTTGCTGATTGCAAATCTATTGGTCAGACTCAGCAGGGTGGCGGATATCATAGAAATGTGTGTGTGTGTGTGTGTGTGTATATATATATATATATAAACCCTTCCAATCCCCAGCCAGGTCTGAGTAGCAGGTACAAGAAGTATTTTTTACTGGAAGAGGGATAGGAAGGGGAGGGGGGGACAACTGAGGAGGGACCAGGGACTGCAAAATATGAGCAGATTAAACTTCAAATTTGAAGTGGAACTACGGGATAGTTTTCAATATACCCCCTTAGTTGCCGTCCATGTACATTTTACGTGTTCATTAAAACTAAAACTAAAACATTTTTGTATAACGTACCTTAAAATAGTTGATGATGTCATTGTTTGCAAACAAGCATGAGTGGGTGTGACAGACCAGGAGTCTCCTGGCCTGTCAGTCCGGGTATGATGTCATGGTGGGTAGGACAAACCAAGAGTCTCCTGGCTTGTCAGTCCAGGTATGATGTCATGGTGGGCAGGACAAACCAGGAGTCTCCTGGCCTGTCAGTCCAGGTATGATTTCATGGTGGGCAGGACAAACCAGAAGTCTCCTGGGTTGTTAGTCCAGATATGATGAAATGGTGGGCGGGACAAACCAGTGTCTTCTGGCCAGTTAATCCAAGTATGATCTCATGGTGTGTGGAACAAATCAGGAGTCACCTGACATTTTAATCAAGTGAGAGAGGTCAGGACAGACTGTGAGTCCAGAACACCCGCGTCCTCCCTCTACAGCCAGTGGTGACATAATATTACGACCTTGTTGGAAAGAAGTAGACTACACTGGGGACGTTACAAGACTGGTGGTCCCAAGGGAGAAGTGGGCACAGTGGCCATCAGTCTTATAACCTGGAAATAAGGGACATGGGGAGTAGGGACGAGTTAGAGTTAGGCTTTTAATACTATCCAGTGCTTTGCTAGAGAGAGTTATACTGACTTTATGTACTGTTGCCCAGATAGGAAGTGAGGGGAACTCTCCAACCTCAACACAGACAGAATTAAAAATACTTTCTTTTCAGTAGAGTAGGAAGGTTAGAACCACTCTCTAGAGTTTTATTTCTACCTGTGTCTTTGTTGCCGATTTACCCTCGTGTCTGGTGAAACCGTTGTCATTGGGACAGAAAGTGAGTGACAGGTATAGACATTACAGCTGGAATCCAGGCACAAAAGCTTTCAATTAAATACATTTTTCATTAATTCATTTTCATTAACGTCAAACAATACAAATCTACTTTGTGTGCTCAAATGCCTTTGCAAACATGGATATTACCTTTTAAAAGTAGCAGTGCCATCATCATATAGCCTGTGCAGTGAGCAGAGCTGTGGGAGGGGTCTGCAGGCCCCACCCACTACAGACTGCCTGCAGAAAACACCAGGAGGGGACGGATAAAGGACCAGTCACCCTGCACAAGCAGAGAGAGCAGCAGGGACTGGTCTTGATTACATGAAGCTCAGGAATAGATGAGCTTATATGTATAGATGCAAGGTTATAGATGCAAAGATGTATAGATGCAAGGTTTTATATTCGATTGCCTTGCAGATCAGAAAGAAATACACAAACACACCAAAATTCAAGAAAGGATATAGCTCTTATATATAGACAATATTTGCCTATTCTGAAGTTCATCTTCAAAGTGAATAGGTTTAGATACCCTTGCAGTGGAAACATATTAAAAACCAAAACCTTCAGAAATGTACAGCTGAGCCCCACATGACCCTCTGCTTTTCATACCAGATAAAGCCCACCCACAGCGGTAAGTTGCAGCTATGTTATTGTATCCAGGAGGACTGGTCCTCAACCCAATACAGAAACCGCAATGGGCATTGGAAGTTCTTCGTCTGTGGGAAACTCTACGCGGCTCTGACAGCATACATTACAAATGACGGAAAGATCAAGATGGACATTAGGCCCTGAGAAAGCGCTCGTACAGGGCTTGGCAGTTTTCTGTTTTCCACACGGGAAAATAAACTATTCCAAACAAATTTAAAAAATAAAACTAGAATCCATATGTCTACTTCTTGACAGGCCTCATTTATACCAGCAGTTTCACAGAAGGCTCCGAGGAAGTTTTAAAATAACGAAGTTGACTTTTTATAAAGATCGGCCCAGACCTGAAAAAAAAAATCCTACAAAAGTGTTCTTTTAACTCTTAGCTCTTGAAGGGAAGCACTTGCTAACACTGAACCATTCATTCGGCCTGTAAATGTGACTTCTCATCGTGAGGTCTCAGAACGTGATCGAGGACCTGCAGGATATTGTACGGCATTCTGGAATCTCCACACACACACACGGAGTTAATTGTTTGGATCATCACTGAGTCCACTGTACTGCGTGCTGGGCCTCCAGAACAGAGCTCTCTTATCTGCCAGTAATAGGAATCTTTATAGCCCGGCCAGCTTGTAATGAGCCTAAGATTTATGGCTGAGCTGCGGGTTAGATGGAGGTATGCAGAAATTGGGAAAAGCAGAAGGCTTATTTTGTCCCTCAGACCTAGAGGGAGCCCAGTTATAGGTTCCAGCTGTGAGATCAGGGGGCGGCTGGATAATTTTGTTTGATGTATGAAGTGAAGTGTCTAAGGGGTAGCATGCCAACAGTCCTATGCTGGCGTAATCACACAGAGCTTTATTGAGCTGCAAACTTTCCTGGTTGAAAAAATATACTTTTACTGGAAAAAAAAAAAAGTGAACTTGTGTATTGCTGCCAAAGGAGGGGAATAGAAAACAGCAAACCTGAATCATATTACACAAGAATGATCATACATGTTAGATATTTTGGTAGGACTAGGCACATGAAAAGAAGTGCAATGTTTGTGTTGCACAAGCTTTTATAGGCAGCAACGAGTCGCTGCTTTGGCCAGGGAAGGCACAAATATTAACATAAAGTATAATCTGGATTACAGAACGAAAAAAGAAAACCTCAAATAGAGTTCTTATTGTACAAAAGACATCCTGGTATCTTCAAACATGTGCAAAACATGATTTGCTTTCAATGCGCTCTACACCAAGGGTAGGCAGCTTGGGCACTCCAGCTGTTGTGAAAATACAAGTCCCATGAGGCTTTGCTCACCGCCCGTCTGCACTGGCCAGAACCATAGAATATAGATGGCTGAGCTTGTGGGAATGACCAGGCACCCACTTTTCAGGCACATTTGAGAACCCCCCACTATCAGGGTGATTTAATAAAGCTTTTGTGACACTTATGTGGTGTTGGGGTCATCTTAGGACGGCCTGTCACAAAAAGATGTGACTTTGAATAATATTACCGGTGCATACCACAAATTCAGGTAGTTCTTACATAATGGGGGTTATTCACAAAGCTGCCGAGTGAATAACCCAGCCGAAGTGAAGTGAGCCGAATGCTCTTGGGCTATTCACTTCAGTCTTCTACGGTTGATTTCAGCTGTACAGTGGCTAAAATCAGCCGTACATCAGCTGCCATTGCCTGCTTCGGTCAGCCAAACATGCTCTGCATGCAAGCCCTATCAACGCTGACAAAGTTTTGACAGGTGTTCGATCGCACTGCGGGCGGTGGGGCGCGGAAGCGGGGCCATTGAATACAATGCGCGGAGAAGTTTCACAGCGATCACGGTGCATTCCAGCAGCTACCGCTCTACAACGCACACGCTTTCGGTGTGAACAAGGCCTAAACCGAACTATTTGACGTGACTTGCAGCCATATAAAATATTAGAAACTCCACAACTTCCAAGTTCCCACCAAGAAGCAGACAGCGAGTCATCTCCCCTTGCAAATCCTGCGGACTGTGGAAGCTCCAGTGACACCTATGCAGGGCAGTTGTGGGGGTGTGTGGGGATTAGAAGTACAACAGAGCAACCAATAACAGCCGTAGGGGTATGACATGCATGCTTGTATAATGGGCAAAAATCTTTGGAAAACAACTGCAAAAATTCAACACTGATAAATTTACTATAGCTTCAAAAATGATTGGCCCTTGACTTGAGTGACCCTAATCAAATCCACCAGAAAAGAAAAGTCTGTCTTGCATGTGATCCTAATATCACAAGAAATATGCTAGGAGAAGAAAAATGTACAATATCCTAACAAATAATACATACTTACATTTTGCTGGAATTCATGTTTAAAAAAAATAAGACATTTAGCAAACCTTAGACTATAATTATTTTCATCATTTATTCATGCCTAAATGAGACAAATCTAAGCCTGCCTGACCAGCACAAGGATATATTTGTAAATTCTTTTTAAATGTTTCCAGCCATGTTTGACATGATTCCCCTAAGAACGGTTGTTTGGATGTGCTTGATGGTTGGTAACCATAAACATAACTTTTGTTGTTAAGGTTGAAATCATACAAATTTGGAAAAGTTATTTTATACTACGCAAGGGATCGCCATCCATGATTGAATTAACTAAAACATTTTTGGGCTACAGTGCAGTTGAGGGGAGTATCCCTGAAGATGGAGCCCCACTATTGTACAATTCTATTCCAAACCTGATCAGGTCCCAACATGTATGAGAACTCATTACGTATTAGCACAATGGCTTTTGATTCTTTGATGAAAAAGAGAGATCTGATACTTGCAATGCATTAACACTCCTGATTGGTCACTTGCAATGGGCAGCTTATATCACAGTCTGAATG